AAAAAAACTGTTGAAAAAAAAAATTTACCGATTAGGAACTTTTGTTAGCGATATATATCATGGTCTTATAATACTTACTGAAATATTACGTCCTTACGACAAGTAGTTTAATTTTAAAAATTCATCAAAATTTGAGAAAATGGGTAGTTTTTTCGTTTGCTAAAATTAAAATTAGACGATTGTCTTGGTATAACATTGGAGTACTTAGTCTTAATGAACGTACTAAACCATTGAAGTCCTACGGAAACTGGTTCAAATATAAAAAATGGTGATTTTTGAAAATTTGCTTTTAGAAAATACTCCGAGTTAACGTGTTCGTTCGTTTTCAATTATGTGTAATAAATCCACTCGGAATATTTTTAATTACTCATAAATAATTTATTTTTTATTGATTAAGTCGATTATTTACACATATCGGGAAGTTCATGTAACTTGCCTCAAGGCAAACTACGAATACTAACTAATTTTTTTGGGAAATAGAAATTTTTTGAAAATTTTGCAATATTTTCAAATTTTTGTAAGAAATCGTTTTTTTTTAATTTTGATATTTTTTTAATTTTTCGAAAAATTGATTTTTTTTTTAAATTTTGATTTTTTTTTTTTTTTTTGAAATTTTCTGTAAAAACATTTTTTGTACACCGTCTACTCAAGCAAAATGTTCTTTGAATTAGTTTAATCAGATGATTCGTTCTCTCAAAAACTGCCTTCATACCTTCGAAACGGTGAAATTGCTTTTTATAAAAACGCCTCGCGATCGAGTACGAATCGAATGATTTTTCAATCATACAAATCGGTTATTCCATACTGCCGAGAAAGTCGAAGACATTTGTTTGAACCATTAAAATTAAAAATCTTTGTAAACCCAAAAAATTGACACATAATGTGTACACATGATTAAAATCTCTATAAAATATCTGACAAGTTGGTGTACATATGTCTAATAAACATTTTTGACCGCCAAATGGCAATTTTTTAACTTTTTTTTATTGAGAGTCCTTAACCGCTGGACCTGCCATTCCAAAAAATCGAACAGTTCTCCGTTTATCCAATATAAGTAAAATCTTTTTTGAATTATTCAAATCTAACGTTTCGTTCTCTCAAAAACTAAACTACCATTTTTAGTCTTTTTTGCTCCGTATTTTCAAAACGACTAGACCAGCCTATGCCAAAAACTAATCAGCAAATCGGTTGAATTGTATTCTTGAAATCGTCGACAAAAATTTGTATCCGCACATACACATACTCACACACACATACATCCATTTAATCTAATAATAAGGTATGCCAAAATGTTCTGAAGGTTTTGAAACGTAAAGATATATAAAAATTTTCATTTTAAATTTTTTGCGCTTACTACAACTTACCCAACGGAAGGTTAAAAAAATTCCTCTAAATCATTTGTTTCGTCAACACAAGCAGAAAGTTTTTCGAATCATTCAAATCGGATGCTTAGTTTTCTCAAAAACTGCCATTTTTGCACATTTAGATAGGTATCTCCAAAATGGCTGGACCTGCCTTTGCCAAAAACTGATCACCACTTTTCCCCGCCAATACAAATTGAATGATTTTTAGATCATTTAAATCGAATGCTCCGTTTTCTCAAAAACTCAATGTGGTGTGAGAGAAAGTACAAATCATCGATTTCCTTACCCTTCCTCATCTATCATTCCAGTTACCGCTATTCCTTTCCCCCTTCTCTACACGTTTTTGGTACCTTCTCACTTTCCAAGCTTCTGCTTCCATGCTTCCAGGTCCGGCTTCCGGCTTCCAGGTTCCAGCTTCGGCTTTCGTCAGTCATATGCATCCTTTTTCTTGCCATTCTCCTAATTCCTTCTATTTTACATTCGACTACGCCGTTTCGGAGGCTCTTTTTTGTGGAACATTTCTTCGCCCACTCTTCTCAGGACTTCTTAATTTATTATTTTGTTTGTCCTTATTTTTTCGCTAATTGACTCCACCACCACATTTCAAAACTCTCCAAATAGTTCTTGTCGGCCTTTACTCAAAGTATACCAGTTTTTACTTCCGCTTTTTAATCCACGTGTTTGTTATCATGAGATTATTTCTGCGGTAGAAGTCAATTACCAAGTTTTCCCTATAGTTCCTTCTGCCAAATCCGTATTTACCAACTCCATTAAAATCTCCTATGATCATCACGTTGAACTTTCCTTGTATATCACGTGTCTAGCTCGTAGATTTGCTCCGCCTGCGTCGTAACTCGATGTTGTCATGTACACCTGTAGCACCAACACAGCCATCGGCTCTGCTTTCAGTTTCACACTCATTAGACGATCACTCACGCAGTTCACATTTAGCGCATTCTTCACCGACTTGTTCCTTGGCATGACTGCCACTTCTATCTCTGATTTATCCGTCCGTTTGGGATTCAAACTTGCCCTTGCAACTCTACCTGGCTCAGTCCCACTATGTTCACTCTGCACTTGTCTATTTTGCTCTTGAGATTTTCCAATTTTCCTGTTCCACGTTGCTAACCTGAACGGCAAATCGACAGCGGTTTTGTTGCTACTTTCGACATTTTTTCTTTTTAACTACAGAAGAGGAAGGCATGTTTGAAACCATTTTTTTGTAAAATGGTCTCAGACCTATTCAAAAAACAATAAAAAGTGGTAATATTTCCATTTTCCTTTCACATCATTCGGGTTGCGCTCCGGATTCTTTGATCTGAAGCTATCTCGACCATCATTTGCTGTGTGCCTCCAGTACTGGTGTCGCTGCTGCTCGACATCAGCCAACTCGGTTAACCGATTTTGTTGTTTCAAGCTATTTGTAGCCGCCGACGGGGTGTGCATGATACATAACTTGATAAAATTGTAACGATTTTTGGGATAATTAACCCTTTAACTTACAATAATGAGAATAGGACGCGTACGATAGCTAATATTTAAAGTCAAATATTTTGGTATTACGATAACCCCGATACGGTAATCACAAGCAGTACAAAATATTTATTTATACAAAACTATTTATTTTTGTGATAAACTGAACACTGTGTGAGAAAATACTCATGAACGCGGCGCCAGCTTGTACAACTTTGGAGCAACATTTTCGAATTTAAATCGTAAACTAGCTGTAAGTGGAATTCTGTCTTAAGGCAATTAAGGCATCGTGCCTTAAGGCAAATTGCTGGAACTTCCCGTACCAAAAATTATAATTTTTTTAAAAACGATTAACATTTTTGAAAAAAATTTACTTTGTAAAAATAAGATTTTTGAGAAACTATAAATTGGACAAAAAATTACTTTTTTTGAAAAAAAAAAAAATTTTTTTTTCTTTATTTTGACATATTTTGGAAGATCTGAACTTTTTTTCAAAGCAATCTTACTGCTTCAACTGCATATAGACAAAATATAAATATAATATAAAGCGCGTAAGCGCCGCGTCTCTGTCTAACGGATAAACATTGGTACGGAACCCATAGGAATGTAAACAAAATTTATACTTATTGTTAAAATCTCTATAAAATATCTGATAATATGATGTGCCTATGTCTAATGATCATTTTTGACCGCCAAATGGCATTTTTTTTACTTTTTTTGTTAGATCTCCGAAACCGCTAGACCTGCCTTCATGAAAATTTGATCAATTTTTCATCTTGTCAATACAAGTAAAATGCTTTTTGATTTATTAAAATCGGACGCTCCGTTCTCATGAAAACTGAGGTACCGTTTTTGGCACTTTTTGCCCCATATCTTCGGAACGACTAGACCTGCCTCCGCCAAACCTAATCATCACGTCTCCTTATCAATATGAATCGAATGTTTTTTGAATTATTTAAATTGCTTCATCCGTGTTCCCGAAATCGTCGACGAAAATTTGTATCCGCACACACATACATCCACGCACACACACACATACACACACACATACACACACACACACACACATACACACACACACATCCATTTTTTCTAAGGTATGCCAAAATATTCAGAAACCCCTGAAACGTAAAGATATATAAAAAATTTCATTTTCGATTTTTTTGCGATTATTATAACTTACCCTACGGGAAGTTAATTAGATAGGAATAGGAAGTTAACATCTAACTACTAGTAAGGTAAGTTATAGTTATCGCAAAAAATCAAAAATAAATTTTGTTATATATCTTTACGTTTCAAAGGTTTCTGAACATTTTGGTATACCTTAGAAAAAAACAGATGTATGCGTGTGTGTGTGAAGGTGTGTGTATATGTATGAGTATGTATGTAACATTCGATTCACTTGATAAGTAGACGTGCACATAAGTTGTTAGCAATAGCAGGCCTAGCCATTTCAACGATATGAGGCAAAATGTGCCAAATTTGGTAATTCAGTTTTCAAGAGAACCGAACGACCGATTTCAATCATTCAAAAAGCATTCTACTTGAATTGACAAAATAAAAAACTGATTAAATTTTTGAAGTAGCAGGTTAGCAGGTTTGCATATCGTCGACGAAAATTTGTATCCGCACACACATACATACACGCAACTGCTGTCGATTTGCCATTCAGGTTAGCAACGTGGACGTGAGGACAATGATGAAGACAGAAAAATTGAAAATTCTCAAGAAAAAAATGCCATTTGGCCGACGATAATAATCATTAGACATATGCACATAAAAATTTCAGATATTTTATAGAGATTTTAATAACAACTAAAAATTTTGTTTACATTTCTGTGGATTCCGTTCAAATGTTCAAGCATTAAACTGCGACTCCTCGCTTACACGTTTCAATATTTTGTCTCTACGCAGCTCAAGCAGCTCGATTACTTTAAATGTATTAATAAAATATTTCAAATATCAAAGAAGTTATTTTTTTTCTAAATTCTCAAAAAATTAGTTTTCAAAAAAATACTAAGTTTTTAAATAACAATTAATTTGCGGTAGGGAAAGTTCCAGAAATTTGCCTTAAGGCTCGATGCCATGCTCTACTAGATAAATATTTAATATTTGAAAAGCTAACAATGTTATTCCAATCGTCTTATTTATTTGTCTACTCACCTGTTGAAAAATCTAGTAGCATGTGCGTAAGATTTGGGCACTTGGCAGCCAGTTCGTGGAGAACCGTGTGCGTTATCAGCTCTATCGGGAGTTCGATGTAGCGCAACGATGGCCCGAAACGTACGGATATCAGAGCCAGCAGAGATTCGAGAGAACCTAGAAAAATACATTATCTGATTAAGAAAATGCAAGCTAATGATACTGTACGCCGAATTCTAATGGAAATATATAATAAATTTAATCAGACAACTATTGATAAACTACTTAGAATTGGATCTATAAATTGAATGCAGACCACAAAACCATTTGACAATAAGCGTTTAGTAGGTATTGCTTGGAAGCACAGTAATAAATTAATTGAACAAAAAATAATTTACAAACTGTGAGGCTAAAGCTTGTGCACCTTTGCAAATTTGGCTGCACAATATAACGTAATACCAATTGGCGTGTTTACAAAAATGGTAATGTGATAATAGGCGTGCATATGATATATAATGTTTTGTTGATTTAAAAAAATCATAATATTATATTGAATAATTATTGATATTTCCTCCGCGAATTATATTTAAAAATATTTTACCACTGCCGACATTAATTTATTTTCAAATCATGCTTAAATTCTTCGTTTGAAGAAACCGAAGACTTTCTTCATTTTTCATTTTTAACAGCTGTTTGTAAAACATTGACCTTCTTGGAAAACTTTTCTGGTCCAAATTTTGACGCTGTGCTGCTTCTGTCGGGACCATTTTATTTTCAGTGGAAGTAATGATGCTAACGTTGGTAATAGCAGAAGCAACACGCTTCTATATTTTATTGATTTTCACTTCCTTCATAGCAATAATGATTTTTTCATAAATCACCTGTTTTTTGTAAGTTCTCTGTTTTTTATGGGTTATTATGGCTGGAGTGATAAAAATAAGAAAATAAAACGATTAAATAATTGATAAAAACACTTTACTGTGCAAAAAAATTTACTACTCAGATGGCTCATGTCTGTCCACAAATAGTGGCCCACTTCTATCTACAAACGCCTTCTTTTGCATATGCATCCCACAAAAACTCAATGTAAACAACAAGTAAAAATCACTTTGCATTTCAAACATTATATGTCTATATAATATATTGCATATTTACTTGACTTTTTTTCGCAAAAATTCGATGACAAATCGCGTAAAAGCGTTTGAGGTTATAAACATTCTTGACGAAATTCTTAGTGCGTTTCTCTGTGAAATGTTTTCAAATAGATTATTATAAATACTGTAACATTTGTCTAATATTTATTTATAAAAATCATATAAACTGAATTACAAAGTTAAAGTTATTTATTTAAAGTATATAAGTAAGCTTTAAAACTTTAGCCAGAATTAAAATTGAAATCTGAATTATTAAACTAAATATACGAAAAAATGACATTTTTTTCCCAAAAAGCAATTGTTTTGTCAACACAAGCAGAAAGTTATTTAAATCATTCAATTCGGATGCTTATTTCTCTCAAAAACAGGGGCGTAGCGTGCCTTGGCGGGGCCCCGTATCAAAATTTGTTTGGAGGCTCCTTTCAAGAAGAATTTTCTTTTTACAAAATATAAAAATACATAAAAATAAAAGATTATTTATTTATCATTATTATTATTTATCTATCTAATTTTCTCTCATTTTCTAAATTTTTTACAAATGATTTTAGATATATATTCACTTTCTTTGAATTTTTTTGAAAAATTAAATTATATAATGATCCTTAAATTTTATAAAGATTCGGTCACTAGGAACGTACAGGTCCGGTAGACATTTCTGTCCTTGAAGTTTTTATGTAATTTTCAATTAATTTCAATTTAAAAAATTTCTCTTAGCAGTTGCGATTGTAACTGGAAGCGCCAAGAGAATAATTCATACTGTTATTTCGTTGGAAAAACTGGATGCAAGCCTAATGCATCCATCACATTTCTTAGATTTTTGAATTCAAACCTATTTCTAGAGCCATCAATTGGTCATGATCTTAAGAGATATTTTTATAGTAATTCTTTACAGTAATTCAGTCGACAGATTTCCGGAAACGTTTATTATTTCTCTATTTCAAAAAGACAAATCTTACTATTTCGCAAAATTTTTGAAATCTGTGTTTGGTTTGTGAAATTAATATATCCAAACAGCATTAGGTTACACTAAACTAAGATTTTGGGTCCAAAATTCTCTCTTTTTGTGATAACTCATCATAATAACGTTCTATTATCTTTTGTTTTTTGTTATTTGAAATAGTTATTGCAATCCATCTTTTGTGCAAAATATTTCGGCTTCTTTAGCAAACTAATTCACTAAATTTTTATGTTTTAATTTACACAGTCTTTTCAAAAGATTACTAAATAAAATGCTAGTTTTTTATAACTCATTACTGTCATATTGTGAAATTCTAGAAATGAAACTAATAATTTGAAACAGTGAACGCGTCATGCAGACAATTCAAGTAGTAACAAAAACAAATATGAAAGTGTTATAAATATAACTATAAGAATTCCAAATTCCAATTTTCGATGAAGTAGAAGAAGAAGATTAGTTTTATAGATTTGTTGACAATAATATTAAATTATCGGATGTGCAAAAACTTTACTAATTGAATTGATTGCTAGAGCTTGCAGAAATATTGCAGCAGAAATAAATTCTCTTAAAGCGTTTTCTTACATGTTGAAGTTCAATACCTCGCGATAATAAAAAAGAATGCAAACTACGTTAAGATTATTCAATTTCTTTTGAAAAAATGTAACTTTGTTTTCTGATTGCGCTCGTTGGCGACCCCCTTGGCTCGGGGGCTCCGTATTTTTGATACGGCTGATACGGCGGTAGTTACGCCCCTGCTCAAAAACTGATATTTTTGTATTCTTAGCTCTGTATCTTCAAAATGGCTGAACCTGCCATTGCCAAAAACTAATCAGCACATCTCCCTATCAATAGGAATCGAATGTTTTTTGAAACATTCAAATCGGTTGATCCGTGCGCGCGAAAACGTGAATGAAAAAATGCGGACACAAAACACACACACATACATCAATTTTTTTGAGGTATGCCAAAATATTCAGAAACCTTCAAAACGTCGAGAAATGTAATAATTTTTAATTTCGATTTTTGGACGATTACAATAACTTACCCTACGGGAAGTTAAATATTATAATCTAAATGTATTAGTAAAATATTTTTACTAGTAAACAACACCTAGTAAACAACAAGTGTTATCAACTCTTACTTCACAACTGTATAAATATAGTTTTAGTAGTTGTTCCTGCTTAATTTATTTAAATCAATCCCATTATGTCTTGAAAGACAATCATTACAAATAAAATAAATGCAACTTCTGTTTGAAAAGCCTATTTCATAGGCACGCTTTTTACAAGGATTGCATAGCAAATGTATGACACTTCTAGATGTGGATAAAAGCAAAAAGGCATCAAGAGCTTGTTGAATATTAATGTCTATTGTATTTTAACACTAACAGTGCTTTACTTAAAATGTGTCTTGCTTTAAAAAATAATTGAAGTGCATTAATATTATTAACAATAACTTTATGTATGTTGTGTATACATAGAGTTATCGTATACTTATGAATTTGGATTTCTATATAATATCTGAAATGAACATAAAACTAAAATTTAACTATTATTTATTAATGTCTTGTAAGTATGTATATACTAAAGTTAAATTTATATACAAAGAATTGCATGCAACCCTCATACGAAACCTTGTCAAAAACATTCATTATCAGAGTTGAAATAACTACCAATTTTATTTATCTTTTGTAAAATTGCTTTTTTGAACTTATTTTACATTATTATTTGCTATTTTCTTATTGTTTACACCTCACCCCACAGCGAATAATTATTCGGCGAATAGCTTAAGCTATTCTAACAAAGCTATTTTAGCGGTTAAATAAAAAATCTGTTGAATCTAACTTAAAAATAACAATACATGCCATAAAACAATTAAATTAAATTATATTCAGGTATCGTTAACTAAAAAAACCGTGCTTGAAAACAAAAAGACTGACTAGTTCTTCGTTAAAAGATTTGTATGTTCATCTCTTTATTTCGATGACGTCCGATTTGAGTTAATGGATTACACATAATTTTTTTTCAACTTCAAAATAGTATTGTGAAAGAATAATATACTTTAAAAGTTTTTAAAATAACAGTGGTAAACTTTTTCACCTGCCTGCCTTAGCCTCGCGCTGATAAAAGTAATTTACGATGTACGAGTATACTTACAAACTCTATAAGACTGTATTTGAAAATTTTACAATAATTGACCAGTATTTCAAATTTTAAAATTAAATTCAAAAAATTATGTCATTCAACTGACATTAGGAATAAATTAATGAACCAGTACTATTTATTTTTTCTACTAAAATCTATTAATACAATTTGCATCATTGTTAAAATATGTGCTTAATTACTTGTTTCTCATTACCATAGAAAACTAGTGGGCATGGCATTGTGTCAAAGGCAAATTGCTGAAACTTTTCGTACCAAAAATTAAATTCAATAAATAAGCTTTATTTTTTTCAAAAATTTTGAAAAGAAGAGATTTTTGGAAAGGCCGTGAGACGATAAGTATACCGAATCAGCCCTAGACAGGGATCGGGCTCCGAATTTCAGGGAATGTTTGTACTCATAAGATACTTTGATGCTGCGAGTTTCAGGTCTTTATCTATAACCGCTTCTGAGAAAATTAAAAAATACTGAAAATTAGGAAAAATTAATTTTCTCAGAGTGTAATTATTCGATTGATCTAAATACCAGAAATTATTTTGTGGCCCGATGATAGTTATTCGAATAAAAAATATGAGATAAATAGGTTCACAAATCTTTATTTTTAACCATCTTACGGTTACGACACAAATAAAACTTTAAATAAATATATTAATCTATAACAAATGATAAAAACAAGTTTTTTGCTAATTAGTAACTAATCTTCGTCATTATCTTCATCAATCACAGGAGTAATATTATCTCTAATAAATAAAGTGTTAAGTATTGCTGCTGGTCTGGGCATTTTAGCCAAATATCGTCCGTGTGCTAAGTAGAAAATTATAGCAGCAACGTGCAAACAGCAACCGATTGTCCTTAATCTATTAGTGCATTTACCGCAATATCTTGATATTCCACTCCACCCAA